TTACAGTGAACTCTGCAGGAAATGCTTCAGCTGGACTCCACAAAAAAATCAGCCTTTTTAGCAAGCCTTGTAAATGCTGATTTATTATCAGCAAATGTTTGATTTTATACCTATTTTATATACATATATACCTGGGATCACGTAAAAATTTCTCAGACGGAAAGGGGTCAGGAGTGGAAAAAATCCCAAGAATGCCAGCTGTAGGTGATATTTCAGAGGACAGAATTGGCAAAACTACCTTTGAGCATTCCTTGACTAGAAAAACACTATCAAAATCAAACAAACAGATATATTTCAGTATTATGCTAATTCAATGTTAAGATAATGAAACACGCTATTCAAATCCTGGCATTATGCTCATCTCTGTGTTGATGAACCAGCTTGTTGATTGCATTTAGATTTTTAAGAGTTTGTCTTTTCCAATCAGTTATGAAGAAGTTGGAAACGTTGGTGGTTTTGAAAACAATGAAATTCCTACACAACTTTACCTGTCTTTGCAAATACACTCAAGTAACCAAACTCAGAGGTTCTTAGCAGATTGTGTAGTGGCCCACACAGTGACATCTTCTAACCCGAGGAACTTCATTCTAACATACCATAATTCCTCTTTTATTTTAAACTACTGAAAACAGGCTCTTAAAGCAAAAATCACAGGTGTTTTATTACTTGTATGTCATTATTAGTGTTTTTTAAAAATACAATCAGTTGCTCAAATTAGACATAAAGCATAAAGCATATTGACAGTACTTTGGAAAACCAGAGTTTATACATGAAAAATACACTTTGGCTCAGATGCAAGGTGCAGTGAAACATTTTCCTGCCTACCAGAAAAGAATTTGCTACTTGTCCGTATGGAATGTCTGATGTTTAAAACTGGGGGAAAAGGGAGAAATAGCTGGAAAATAGTTAATTATAGTATTGATAGAATTATTTTGGTGGATATCAGTCAACATTGTTTTGTGTGTGTATCTGTGTTTATATGTGTCTGCGTGTCTCTTTTTATGCTTTTATCATCCTCATACATATGTACCACAACTCCTTCCGTACAAAATTACATGTATCTTGCATTACTAGATAGAAATATGCAAACCTTTAAAAAAAGGTGGGGATAATCTTTATCCCCATTTTTTTTTAAAAAATGGGGGGAGGGATATAATCCCCCCACTTTTTCAGAATGTCACATTTGTATTTTCCCAAAATTAGCTAGTTAAAGTTAGGAAGATATTATTTTTTAAGGAGCTAACATCCGAACAAATTACATCTAAATAGTGTCTAATTTGTTTTTACCTCTAAGACTCAGGTTTAGGAAGAATTTGGATTTTTTTAGAGGGATCATTGACTTATAGAATGGAAGAGACCATATGGGCCATCTAGTACAACCCCCTGCCATGAAGGAAAAACACAAAGTTTCCCTGGCAGATGGTCATCGAGCCTCAGTTTAATAGTTTCCAAGGAAGGAGCTTCCCCCGTACTCCAAGGCAGAGAGTTCCACTGTTAAACAGCTCTCATAGTCAGAAAGTTCTTCCTAATGTTCAGGTGGAATCTCCTTTCCTGTAATTCGAACCCATTACTCCTAGTCCTAGTTTCAAGGGCAGCAGAAAACAAGTCTGTTCCCTCTTCCTTAATGACACCCCTTCACATATTTATACATGGCTATCATGTCTCCTCTCAACTTTCTCTTCTGCAGGCTAAACATACTAAGTTCTTTAAGACGCTCTTCATAGGGCATGGTCTCCAGACCTTTGATCATTTCAGTTGTCCTCCACTGAAGACCTTCCAACTTGTCAATATCTCTTTTGAATGGTGGTGTCCAGGAATAGATAGAAGAATGAAGATACTTAAGGCTAGGAAGTAGGATTGGCAAGAAGCAACGCAATGTGCAAGACTCTGAGATTTTCATTTTGTGGACCTAGAAGACTAGTTTTTATTTTCCATCCCTATTTTCTGAAGTTGTGCCTTGGATACACAACTTGGATACACATCTCTGTCAGCTCCTGGTTGTTACTCAAGAGGAAGGTGTGGTTAGTGTTACTTTTTACTCTCTCCACTAAATTAGCTGAGAAAGCTATCCCAAATTATTACTTAGTCCTGTAAATTCTTCAACAGAAGTTACTGGTCTAGAAAAAGTGGATTAGCATGTTTACCTACATATCTATATTAGCCAAGCTGGTCATTAAAAACGTCTTAGGGCAAATTGTGAGTAAATAGATGGCTACTTAGAGCTCTTTGATATACTGGTGTGAGAGTCTTGATGAAAGTCTTTGAGATGATTGATGTGTAACATCTTGTCAGTTTTATGTACCAATGTCCATTAAAGCTAAAGCCAGTCACTTCACAATCCTGTTGGGGGACTCTCGCCACCCCCTTTGGCTTCAGTATCTTATCCAAGAGGCATTTTTTATCCGTAGGTTTTGATTAAATTAATGGAGTCAAATAGTGAAACCTTGGTTTTATCTTATAGTTAAACCCTGCAGTACTATGAGAAAGAAGTATATATGAATAACTAGTGTTTCAAGTGCATTATTTGCAGGGCAGTGAATGAAAGAAACACATAAAAGGGTAGTCTTGATACAACACAAAGCTGATTCAATAAGTCAGAAATCTTGTTCACATGGTGCAGATCCTATCTGTTTGCATGATAAATGTAGTGATATATGTGAACATGTGGTGTAGCTACAGGTACGTCTGATTCTTTCAATTTTAAATGATATAGAGAAATTGCACACTTGAATGTGTGTGTCAAGAGATTTCCACATCTTGCCCTTTATGTTGTGTGTGAGAGAGGAAAGGGAGAATATGCAAGGCCAGGGATAGAAAAGTAGGTCTCCTGATGTTGTTGGACTGTTCTTCCCATCACCCCTAATTATTGGCTAGATGGGCAAATTGGATGTCTGATAGAATGTTGATATTTAGATAGGCAGAAGTTCCCTAACTCTGATTAAATCCTTTTATACCGTCATAAATAAAAGCTTTGCAGCTACTCATCTTTAGTGTCAATGTTGCGCACCTTTTCAGTATTTCTTTTTATTGGGCTTAATAGGCTACAGCCTTTTTCTTTCTAACCCCAAAGATGCAATTATTCTCAGTTTCAACGCCTGTGGTGCACATAAGGGGATTATGTATAATCCCTTTCTTGCAAGTGTATAATTTCATTAGTAGTATAATTTTAGTTCTTTTATTATTGGGGGATTTCTAATTTTACCCTCTAATCTTCAAGATGTACTTAACACCAGGCAGAAAGTATTTGCCATGCCCAGCAGAATCTGCATCATTCTGCTCTTACAGTTGTCATCCATTATGAGGTACCACAAAACTATGTTGATGGTTCTGAATTTGGGATTTATAATAGAAGCATTTAAGTTTGGGTTGGTAGAGACCACAAAGGCCATCTAGTTCAATCCCCTGTCATGGAGAAGTGGACAGTTTGGCCTATATCAAGACCTCAAAAAAGAATTTGATCTACTTTCCTAATATTTAATAACAATAATAACTTTTAAAAATATTCTGCCCTATCTCCCCAAAAGGACTCAGGGACTTGGAAACCAACCTGCTATTGGTTTAGTGTGCATCATTTTAAGTCCTATACCCCTACAGATATTTTGGCTATTTTCTGGTATACAAAAGGTTTGATTTAGGACAGTGGTGTGGAGATATTTGGGTTTAACCATATGAGTTCCTTTCTAGATTTTTTTGTATGTCAGGAGTGACTTGAGAAAGTGCAAGTCACTTCTGGTGTGGGAAAATTGGCCATCTGCAAGGATGTTGCTCATGGACGCCTGGATGTTTTGATGTTTTACCATCCTTGTGGGAGGCTTCTCTCATGTCCCTGCATGGGGAGCCAGAGCTGACAGAGGGAGCTCATCCACGCTCTCCCTGGATTCGAATCTGTGACCTGTCGGTCTTCAGTCCTGCAGGCACAGGGGTTTAACCCATTGCGCCACCAAGGGCTCCTTCTCAAACCTTATTTGTTCAAACATCTGGAAAGGGTTAGTGAAAGGGAGTAAAGAACATTACTTGAAGGCCAAACCATCTTGGGATATTGAAAGCCTCTTCCTGTGATAGGGGACAGTATGGAAACCATAACATTGTTTGTCTTCATCCGTGGCTTATCATCAGTTTGCGTATTTGTAAATGAAGCTTGTCAAACTCCCTAAAATATTATAAGGGTGCCACCTGCATGTATGTAAACAAATCAAATATTTCAAAACATTTGTTTCTCCCCAAAGCAAAGTTCATATCAGGTAAGCTATACTGGTTTGGGAATTCTGTACCTTGGCTACCAGATAGTAGGGATTCTTAATACGAAACCCCAAAAGCGACTAGTAGGGCTGACAAAAGGCATGCAAAAGCAACCAGTTAGCACTTTTATTTTTACATATGAGAAATCACCAACGGTGCATCTGCACTGTAGAATGAATGCAGTTTGACACCACTTTAACTGCTATGAATTGATGCCCTGGGATGCTGGGATTTGTAGCTTGGTGAGAGTCCAGCACTCTTTGGCAAAGACATTTTAAAACTTCAACTGCCGTAGGATAGCATTCCATAACATTGTGCCATGGCATTTAAAGTGCTGTCAAACTGCATTAATTCTACAAAAAGCAAGCCATGGTAGATTTTTCTTCTTCTTCTTCTTCTTCTAATATTACAGAAATGAGCTTTAAGGTTGCTGGTGTACTTGAACTTCTCTGTTGTGTATCCATCACTTTCTGAGCAAAAATGATGTTTTCCATGGTTTGAGGGACTGTATTGGACACTAACCATTGCGTAATACATTGATTAATTAGAAAGAAATGTAAAAGGGTGATGGAAAGAAACTTTCCAGTGACAAAGGTGTGGGCAGAATGTATTGCTTTAGCTAAGGATGCTAGTGATTTAAAAATATGTCTCCTAGGGAACTTACAGTAAAGCTAGTATGTTTGTTTCTGCCATACTTGGTAAATGCTCAACTAGCAGTAATAATTGCTTTATGGGTGTGTTTGTTTTCTGTTTTGCTTCAGATAGTCGTTTGGAAGAGATACAGTGACTTTAAGAAATTGCACAAAGAACTCTGGCAGATTCATAAACACTTATTCAGGCACACAGAATTGTTTCCGCCTTTTGCTAAAGCAATAGTATTTGGTAAGCATAAGTTTTTTTAATTGCTTCACTCGTTTGGGAATGGCTGATTGATGCAAAAATGTGGGTGGTCATAGTTCTCTATGTGAAAACACCTTATAAACCAGGTATGGGCAAAGTTTGGCTCTCCAGGTGTTTTGGACTCCAACTTCCACCATTCCTAACAGCCTCAGGCCCATTCCTTTTCCCCCTCAGCTGCTTAAGCAGTTGAGGGGGAAAAGGAAGGGGCCTGAGGCTGTTAGGAATGGTGGGAGTTGGAGTCCAAAACACCTGGAAGGCCAAAGTTTGCCTGTGCCTGTTATACATGGATGAGTATATGTGAGTGCGTTTGTGTGGTTTTATATTCATCAATAAAATGAAACAATCACTATTGAAAAATAACTCATATTGTCTTTCTGTCTGTAATATGATAATTTATTATTGTTGAATACTTCCAGATAAAAATTATGCATACTGTGCAGAGTTGCAAATCTGCGGTAACACTTCTGTGGATTCAAAGTAGATCTAACTAGGTGCAGTCTTTTATTTATCTTTTAACTGTAGTTGGATTTTCAAGAAAAGTTGCCCCTTCTTTTTGTACAAAGCTCCTCATTATAAATAAATATAAATAAAACATTATTTATATCCTGCCACCATCTCCCCAAAGGGACGCAGGCGGCTTTATTTATTTATTTATTGCTATCAGGAGTGACTTGAGAACCTACAAGTCGCTTCTAGTGTGAGAGAATTGGTTGTCTGCAAGAATGTTGTCCAGGGGAAGCCTGGATGTTTTACCATCCTGTGGGAGGCTTCTCTCATGTCCCCGCATGAGAAGCTGGAGCTGACAGATGGGAGCTCATCCTGCTGCTCGGATTTGAACTGCTAACCTTTTGATCAGCTGTCCTGCCAGCTCAAGGGTTTAACATATTGTGCCACCAAGGGTTCCACTCAGGGCGGCTCACAAAAGCACTCCAAAGTGCAGCACACATAAAATACACACATACAGAAGCATATAAAACGATGACAATATAATTTTACACAATTTTACATGCATGCTTTTGAAAATCATGATAAACCCCCAACCACAGCTTTTAGTTACATGTCTAATAACGAGAAGTTGGTAGAGGTGGAGGGATTAATGTCATAGAATGAAACAGCTTTTGGACTAGAAAATTTTAAAAGTCCACAGCTTTATTATAGCTGTAAAGTGCTGGTGTGTCACAGATCCAGTAACTGGATGGCCCATCTATTGTCTGTGATAAACCCCAACCTCTGACCGTAATACCAGGGGGCAACGGTGGGAAGATAGTGAGGATCTGCCATTTTGTTATTTCCTTGTGACCTGGGAGTCAGAAGGTTCTTGTGTATACCTGTACCTCCACAAAAGGTAAAGGTTTCCCCTTTACATTAAGTCTAGTCAGGTCTGACTCTGGGGGGTGGTGCTCATCTCCATTTCTAAGCTGAAGAGCCAGCATTGTCCATAGACACCTCCAAGGTCATGTAACTGGCATGACTGTATGGAGCACTGTTATCTTCACACAGAAACAGTACCTATTGATCTACTCACCTTTTCATGTTTTCGAACTGCTAGTTTAGCAGAAGCTGTGCCTAACAGCGGGAGCTCACCCTGCTCCCTGGATTCGAAGTGCCGACCCTTTGGTCAGAAACTTCAGCAGCTCAGCAGTTTAATCCACTGTGCCACTGGAGGCTCCTTTCTACCGTAAATGGGCCTCAACTTGATATGAAGGCTATGTTCAAATAAATCAAATAAATCTTGACTTATACCATACTGTTAAAATAGGGATAAAAGGGCGGTGGCGGGGGGAGCATACCATAGCGGAAAACCTTGAAATAGTGGTTCGGTAGGAATGCAGTTTATATTAGTGAGCCAATGTGGTGTAGTGGCTTCAATGTTGGACTATGAAACTGGAGACCCTGTTCAGCCATGGAAACCTACTGGGTGTCCTTGGGCAAGTCATAGTTTCTCAGGTCTAAAGGAAGGCAAAATGAAAACCTCTTCTGATCAAATCTTACTAAGAAAACCCTGTGATAAGCCCTCCTTTGATTTCTAGAAGTCTGAAATGACTTGAAGGCATACAACCATAAGAATAACAACATGAGGAAGGCAGTCCAAGACTGAATAGAACAGCGTTTCTCATCCTGGGGGTCGGGACCCTTGGAGGACCCTCGGGACCCATGGTCCTCGTTCTGCTTCTTGGCAGAATGGGGTTGGACTGGATGGCCCATGAGGTCTCTTCCAACTCTTTGATTCTATGAGAGGTCGCCACAGACCATCAGAAAACAGCATTTTCTGTTGGTCATGAGGATTCTGTATGGGAAGTTTGGCCCAATTCTATCGTTGGTGAGGTTCAGAATGCTCTTTTATTGTAGGCGAATTATAAATCCTAGCAACAACAACTCCCAACTGTCAAGGTCTATTTCTCCCAAACTCCACCAGTGTTAATATTTGGGTATATTGAGTATTCATGCCAAGTTTGATCCAGATCCATCATTGTTTTAGTCCACAGTCCTCTCTGGATGTAGGTGAACTACAGCTCCAAAACTCAAGGTCAGCACCCACCAAACCCTTCCAATATTTTCTGTTGGTCATGTGTGCCAAATTTGGTTCAATTGCATTGTTGGTGGAGTTTAGAATGCTCTTTAATTGTAGGTTAACTATAAATCGCAGCAACTACAACTCCCAAATGACAAAATCAATCCCTCCTCAACCTCACCAGTATTGAAATTTGGGCATATCGGGCATTTGTGCCAAATTTGGTCCCGTGAATGGAAATACATCCGGCGTATCAGATATTTACATTATGATTCATGCCAGTAGCAAAATTGCAGTTATGAAGTAGCAATGAAAATGATTTTATGGTTGGAGGTCATCATAACATGAAGAACTGTATTAAGGGGTCGCAGCATTAGGAAAGTTGAGAAACACTGGAATAGAAGAAGACCTGTGCTGAAACTTGCAGCTTTAATATCTGGCTCCAAGTTATCTGTTGAATGATGTTGCTCTTTCCTTGTTAAATTCCTTCTTGGGGATATCTTGCGTTTCTCAGCAGCTTTCTGCTTCCTTACTGATGTAAGCTCATTCAGTGACTTCTTGGTCAGCTCACCTGGCAGTTGGTCCCGGATGGGGAAGGCTGTATCTTTGTTGTTCTTTCGGATTGTCTTGGCTGGCATCTTGCTCCTTGAATGATAATTGAGAATGTCAGCAGGAAATGTTTAATCCTGTTTTAACCTCTTTAAGTTACATGATCCTACTAAGGTTAGTCTCTAAAGAGTGAGAGAATTAATTATAGCTATGAAGATAATCAGTAAATAATGATCCCAGCTCCTTATCACAAGATAAGCTGTGAAGAAAAGCAGGGCGAGGAGAATGGTTTCAACACAGAAAAAGGGGATTAGGGAGTCTAATAAAGGACAGATAGAGCTCCACTGTCTTCCTTTAATAAGTACAGAATGAAGGATTAAGCATGCCTAGATATACCTCATGTACCAAGCCTAAATTACCAAGGAAATGGGCAGCCTTAAGTATGGCAGCTCACTAGGCTGACAAATCCTCAGAGCTTTCCCTGTTATAGGTTTCCTCTTTTTATTGTCCAGGACATGAAGTCACTCAACCGGGTTCTAGATATAGTTCTTATGAAAGCTATTGTGGTTTAGCTGTCCCAAATGTAGCAGGGGCTAGAACATAGCAGTTACAGGAGGTATTGCATTTGGCCATGCCATAGTCTCTGATACATCTTCTACAAGGGTTTTGGTATACTCTTTGCAAGGTATTTGTTCTTCAGAGGTAGGTGGCTGCCTACCTTGCCATTTGCTAAGCTGCATTATTGCTGCCTGCTGTTTCTGCCTCCCTCTGCTGTCTCTTAGGTCTAGTTGCAGTTTTAGCTGGATCTACATGGTCCTATATCCTAGGATCTGATCACAGATTATCTGCTTTCAACTGGTTTATATGAGTCTACCTCCAGCAAAGGATCACCGCCTTGTCGGGGCGCTGGAGCTTGAGCACCTCAATGATGTCATGAGC